GGGGTATAAAACAGCTTTTGGGAAAGCTGTTCATATATATATTCAGTTTATCAAAGCCTTAAAAAAAACTGTTTATATGAACTTTGACTCCATTTTTAGAATATTAAGGAAACAGATTCAAACAAAGATTTTTGTATAAAGACTCTGTCATTTGGGTTTATCTAATAGTCAAGTGGAAAGAATCTAATAAGAGTCTAATACTAGAAAATAGTTAACACAGTTTATGGTGCATGTGTCCATAGTATAGAGCATATTTAGCCATTTTTTTATTTTGAAAAAGTTATCGTTTGGAGAAACATGATTTTAATTTTTAGGCAGGGTATGGAACTGTATATAAATGTGATTTTAAATGTGTAAATGTATTTACTAAATAAACTCTTTAAGTATCTGCAAAACAAAGTACTAGTAAAAACACCCAGAATGTTAACAATGATCATATTTGGGAGGTCGGATTATGGATGAAGCTTTTTTCTTTATATTCTCTATCATTTCATCATGTATAATGAATACATTGATAATTACAAAATACACTTTAAAATGTATTTTTAGACATTTTTTAAACTCAAGAGAGCACATTGGTTAAAGGAAATTAAATGTTTTCAATTTTATTTAGGAAGAAGAGCTGAGAAAAGCCATTTTAGTGGTGTTTGCAAATAAACAGGACATGGAACAGGCCATGACTCCTTCAGAGATGGCAAATTCACTTGGGCTACCTGCCTTGAAGGACCGAAAATGGCAGATATTCAAAACATCAGCAACCAAAGGCACTGGCCTTGATGAGGCAATGGAATGGCAAGTATCCTGTTTCCAGAAGCCATTTGTCCATTTGTGTGTGCTTCCAGCTATGCACGCCCACATGTAATTTTCCTCCAGTGCTGAGGATGAAACTTTGATTTACTTAACAGCTTATCTCATAAGTTCCTCCAGCCTTTTCTCCCACTAGTCTTTGGGTGCATCTGCCTTCCCAACCACACCTACCTGACTGCAGTTACTTAGATAAACAAATTCTTTGCCAATTTTTAGCCTTTTTCCCTGCCTCACCTCACCCTTGAATTCCTTATCGTTCAGGAATTAAGGCTGTCTTCTCCAGAGTTTTTCCCCAATGTATCTCTAGTCCTATTGCCTAATCACTCACCTAAAGTTAGTACTGTGTCACAGATTAGTGACATAGTACTTGTTATACTGTCTTGTAATTTGTTTGATTTGTTCATCTACTTATTATATAATCACCTCCTTGAGGATTGAAACTAGTTTCACGTTTGAGGCATCCATATGTAGCCCAGAAATAGTAGTAGCCGGGAAAACAGATATTTGGTCTTTTTTGAATTTTTCATTCAAATCATAGACAAATTTAAAGCTTAAAGGAACCTTACGGAAATCGAGCGTATAACCTCATTCTTCTATGTTAGCTGTCATCATTTTAAGTACTTTGGAATTCACTTCCAATATAAAGTTTATTACAGATGATCATGCTTTTATACCCGAAAGTTAATTTTATAAAACTGTTCATTTTCTCTTTACAGGTTAGTTGAAACATTAAAAAGCAGACAGTAATTCAGTCCATTCTTCTCCCCTGAAATGAAGACTGCATCACCTCTGTTCCCTTTGGAAACAGTCAACTGTACTTCACACTACTACATGTTAAAACTATATGATTGTTGGCATATACTGACTGACTGCAATGTTTGTAGTAAATAGGGAAAAGAAGTATTTGGTTAGAGGGGTAACTCGACTGAATCACCTGAATGTTCTGTGTAATGTAAAATATTCTTTCCTTGCTTTCTTGTGTTAAGGTATATATTCTATTTGTATGGAATTCTTATTCAAATACAGTTCTATTAAAGAATGTACTCCTATTGGATGAAAAAACCCTCCTATTTTTGAATAGTAGTTGCAGCTTGTTTGTATAAATACTAACAGATATCTTAACAGATTTTTTTCCCCTTAAAATGAATTATCTTTCCAAAGATTAGACTCAGTAGAGTAGGTGAGGAATATAATGTGTATAATATACTCTTTATTTGCTTACCTGACCACTTTTTATTAAGCTGTTTTGTTAAAAGCTTTTGGTTATAGGCATGAATATTATTTTGATGGTTAACTTCACTGATTTATCTGTAATTGTCATTTTATAGTACTTTATAGTTGTCAAAAAAAATCTTACATATGTTGACGTAGTTGATCTGTACAGGAAGCTTGTAAGGTAGGTAGGACAGGTTATGATGTCTTCACTTTATGGACATGGACCCAGAGTTCTAATAGGCTGGTTTGCCCAAGGTCACCTGCTAGCTTTTAAGGTGGGAATCGGGCTCAAAGTAAAATTTTGGTTCAGAAGCTTGACTCATATAAACTATACTATATATTCCCAAAAATGTCAGCATTGACAACACAGTCTAACTTTTAAATAAAATTATGCTAATTAAAGTAGTTACATTCAAAGTAATGTCTATAAATTTATTATTCTATACTAGTAGATCAGTGACAAATAATCCTAAATGGTTATATTTGATGGAATTTATAACACATTAAAGAGAAAATTTCACATTAAAGGAAGGTTTAAAACTCTATTTTTAAGATTATAAAAGGTGTCTTTAGTGGTTTTCATTCCTTTTATCTACCTGTAATTGGGGATGTAAACTTGTTAAAAATCAAAATCCTACTGATTCTACAGGGAGAAATTACGCATTCTGTTTTAAAAATTAGGCTTATTGCTAGACTGAAAGTTTAAAAAACAATTCATGTTCAAAGCAGCTTTTTAAATTACCTAGTCCACCACAGAATCAGCTAATGTGACAGAATATAGTGCTTCATCATTGCTAAAACGAGGTGAATTTCTTTCATTTAAGTTGGAAAACCAGCATTTAAAAAATTAGGTGCTGGTAATGAGAGCTTAATACTATGGTTACCCACAGGTCTCAGGATCATTAGTAGATTCTTTCTTGGCCTTCACTGTCCTTCCAGTGTTGGCCTCTGGCCTCTTCCCCTCATATTTACGTTTATTCTCTGGGCTTACATTCATTCTCTGCAGCTGTCTCTCTTCATCTTTGGGACTCTCACCCTTCTCGCTCATTCTCCAGCACTCATTCCTACTTTAGTCTCTTTGAAATCTTTTTTGGAGATTTTTCCTTTAGCTACAAGTGTTCCAGTATAACCAGTATTACTCCTGAGAGGCAGAGACTTTTTCATATTTATGTCCCTAGTATGTGGTGTGGCGCCTGGCATAAGGCATTTCAGAATGTGTTATAGTTGAAATAGTAGGATAGATATTTGTCATTTGAGAAGTAGTCCCTTTGCAATTTATACTTGAGTTTACTTCTGATCAATAGCACATGGCTGGAAAATACAGAAAACAAGTCCCCTTATAGCCTGAGGCTTGTAAGGCTTGTACAGCTGCAGCTGCCTTCTGGCAGTTCAGGAAAACTGCAAAAAATGGGGTTTCCTGGCAGGCAAACCTGGCATGTAGCCCTTGGCCCTCTTGAATCCTAGGGCATGAAGTTGCCCCAAAGGTCAGCACTTGGATAAGCCTGATCCCTCTGATTTATCACAAAGAATAGGATGAGATTAAGAGAGTGGACCCTTAAGTAGGCTATAAATTATATGGTCCTTGTCTAGCAGGAAACAACTGCACAGGTATGCTACCAGGGCTTGGATATTGATATTCACAAGGCAAATCTGAATACTGTTTTATGAGAATCCTGGCAATGGGAAAAGCACCAAACAAAATCAGAACATAGGTGCAAATGGCTACTCCTGCAGTTTCTTTTCTGTAAAATGGGACCTGGACAAATGATACCAAAGGTTTCTTTCTGACATTCTGTTTTTTAACTATGGCTGATGTGCTGTCGCTTGCTACAAAAAAGAGAAATTGAGAGTGGTAGAATTACTTCTGTTATGAAATACCTGAGATGCACTTTAAACTGTTGAAATGTAGGTTCTGAGGGGAGGGGCCGTATCTTATTTACTGTTAGTATCCCTTGCATCTAGTGTGGTGCACCTGGCACACAGTAGGCACTCAATAAATATTTATTGATTAAAAACAAAGACGTCTTCAATATCCCAGATATATTTGTTCTTTTTGACCTTTGCCTTAGTATTTTTATTTTTAAAAATTTTATGAAAGCAATACGTGCATTTACTTTAAGTCACTTAGAATTAATTAAAATCAGTCTTCTACTATGGCCTCCTTTGACACATTACAAAGCCCTTAGGGTGAGAACTCCTGTTTGAGATACAAAGTACACCAAAGCACAGATGCTGAAGTGAATGAACGTTTGAGTCCTATGCCACATGCTGTGATATTCTGAGCCCCAAATTATAAAGCATGGACTTTTTTTTTTCTTTGAGATGGAGTCTCACTCTGTCACCCAGGCTGGAGTGCAGTGGTGCGATCTTGGCTCACTGCAACCTCCACCTCCCAGGCTCAAGTGATTCTCTTGGCTCAGCCTCCCAAGTAGCTGGGACTACAGGCGCTGGACCACCACACCTGGCTAATTTTTGTATTTTTAGTAGAGACAGGGTTTCATCATGTTGGCCAGGCTGGTCTCGAACTCCTGACCTCAAGTGATCCACTGCCTCGGCCTCCCAAAGTGCTGAGACTACGGGTATGAGCCACTGCGCCTGGCTCAAAGCATGGACTTTGCATCCTGATTCTACCACTTACATCCTGTATTACCCTTAGGCAGGTTATTTACTACATGTCTCAGTTTCTTCATCTGTAAAATAGGAACCAATTGTAGGAATCTCTCAGGTATACTAGGATGAAACAAAATGTGTCCAAAGTGCCTGGCACATAGGGTGGATTTCCCACCCCATATACCCCCAAGTATGTGAGGCACTAAAGAGTATTTCTTCCACATCAAGTATAGAGTGAGGCCAAAGATGCTATATGGTTGAACAATAGAAACCAAGTTTAGCCACCTCTAAATAAGTGTGGCTTATTACCATTTTAGTTGTAAACAGTAAACCTTTAAAGTTTCAAAGAAACCACTTGTTTTCTTTGCACTAGTAACTTTGTATTAATGTGGTTTTGGCCATACATTAGAAAATGTTTTTATCAGGAAATATTTCATACAGAAAGTAATGAAACATAATAAACTTGGAAATCTGACACCAAATCTAAGACATAGAGCATTATGAGGACAGTTCAAGCCCCCCAACCCCACCATGTGCTTCTTCCTTGATCCTATTCCTTCTCAGAAGTACCGTCCATCCTGAAAACTTTGAAATCGTTTTTCTCTACAGATTTACCACATATGTACACACACTCAGAGCCCCTATTACAGTGGCATTCAACTCTTATTTTTCTATGACTTTTTCTCCCACTTAACACTGTTTCTAGAATTCATCTATATATCTATATATATAATTAGCTGATTTCCGCTACTGTATTTTGGTATCTGAATATACCATTTTATTTATTTACTCTCTTGTGGAAAGACATTTGAATTGCTTCTAGTTCTTGACTTTTATCAATGGTTCACAAACATTCTTCAGATCCATAGTTCTTGGTTTCTCTAAGAGTGGAACTTGGGATCAGGGAGTATACCCATCTTCAAGTTTACAAGATTATGCCAAATTGCTTTCCAAAGTGGTTTATAAGATTTCCTATTGCTCTACCATGCTTACCGGCACTTGGTATTGTCAGCCTTACCAATCTGATGGTTTCAAAATGGAATCTAATTCTGGCGATAACTGGCATTTTCCTAATTACTAATGAGGTTGAATACAGGAGTGACTCAAACAATTTAACCACTAGGCATAGCTAGTACAGGACCCCTGCTAGTCCAGGTATTCTTTAACTCCTGGTATGAGAAGATATGGAATCTAAGGACTTCATGTAGCCAGGGTGGCACTTGGGGGTCTCAGTGTAGTGTAGTGACTACTTACCAAGCGATACATAGTACTTTTTTTTAAATGGCACAGCCATGTCACTAACTGTTAATGTTTAAGGACCATTTATGTTTCTCCTTTCGTGCAATGCTTATTTCTGTCTTTTGCCACGTTTTCCACTAGATCATCTGTGTTGATTCATCAGTATTCATTTTATGTCCTGGTATTACTAATTGTTTAACAGTACATGTTATATGCTGTGTCCCAATTTGTGTCTTAAGTAGAAGTTCTTAATAAAATAGGATTTATTATTAACACGTTCTCTCTGTAGTTCGTGTGTCTTACTTTTGATATCTAATAGGGCAAGCCCCTCATCCTGTTCTACTTTTGTAAGTAGAACCTGTCATGGTTATTTTCAGCTTAGTATCTTCCATATAAATTTTAGAATCAGCTTCGCGGGTTAACATGAAGAACTCTTGGGATTTTGCTCCGATACACATTTAACCAAAGGGATCAACTTGGGAAAGAAAAAGGAGCATTTTATGGTCCTGAATATTCCTATCCATGAACATGGTTATAGTTCTCTATTTGTGCAGATCTTACAGCCTTTTCCTAAAATTTTATAATGTACTATATAGCGGTACTTGCAAATCTTTTGTCTGATTTATCGCTAACTTCTACATTTTTTCTTGTTATTTAAAAATGTATCCTTTTATTTACAAACTATGTTTTAAACTTTCACTAGTGTCACATACTTTTTAGTGAAGACCCAGTAGTAGTATAAAGTGTTTTATTTATTTAAAAAATATGAGCATGATTTTATTAAACTATATATTATATAATCTATCCAAAGTTTAACTTAAATAATAAAACCTGGTTGGGTACACTGGTTCACACCTGTAATCCCAGCACTTTGGGAAGCCGAGGTGGGTGGATCACTTGAGCCCAGGTGTTCGAGACCAGCCTCGCCAACACGATGAAACCCTGTTTCTACAAAACATTTGCTGGGCATGATGGTGTGTGCCTGGGAGGCACAGCTACTTGGGAGCTGAGGTGAGAGGGTCACTTGAACCCAGGTCAAGGCTGCAGTGAGCTGTGATTGTGCCACTGCACTCCACCCTGGGTGACAGAGTGAGACCTTGTCTTGGAAAAAAAAAAAAAAACACCTCCCCACCCCAAAACAATCTGCTGTAATTTCAGACTAGTAGAATATTCCAGAAAGTTTATGCTTGTATCAGCACAGAGAGGCATTACTCCACCATTGCTAAATCTTTCAGGCTATGGTTCTTTTGTCTCTTGGCCTTATAGCCTGGACGCAGGAACTCTATCTTTCTCTTCTTTGCTTCACTTTTATTTTTGTGTTTCTTCATTTTTTTCTTGGCAGCAATATCAGGATTAGTTACAAACTGGAAAAAAGAATAGAAATTTTATATTACTTGTAAAGTAAATGTTAACCCAATAAAAATCAAATACAGAAATATATGTAAAAAACATATGCCTATTAAAGAAAATCTGAAGCCCCAGCTGTAAAGTCCCCAACCACTCTCAAACCCTTGATCCTCCCTGGGTGTAAGTGTGACACAAACATGCACACTTAATAGTTACAAGCCCAGTGAACATGCCATATTTTTTTTTTTTTTTTTTGAGAAGGGGTCACTCTTGTTGCCCAGGTTGGAGTGCAATGGCACGATCTGGGTTCACTGCTACCTCCGCCTCCTGGGTTCAAGTGATTCTCCTGCTTCAGCCTCCCAAATAGCTGGGATTGCAGACATGTGCCACCACCCCCAGCTAATTTTGTATTTTTAGTACAGACTGGGTTTCTCCATGTTGGTCAGACTGGTCTTGAACTCCCAACCTCAGGTGATCCACCTGCCTCGGCCTCCCAAAGTGCAGGGATTACAGGCATGGGCCACCACGTCCAGCCCATGCCATATTTTCAAAGAGCAAACTTACCTCCAGAGCCTTCCTCTTTTTCCGGAGTGCCCTTTTCTCATGAGCCTGTTTCTGTACAGAGGCAAAGGCTAATGAGAAGCTCTCAAGCCCAACCAGCTTTTTGAGTAATTCTATGATTTCCTGGGATAGATTCTTCAGCAAAGGATCTAATCACACACACAGAGTAATGATCAGAGACAGGTAGGAAAGGATACATTTGAACATCAACAAAATTAACCATATGTACAACATTTATATACAGCTATTGATCTGGCAAGAAACCCCAAATAAAAAAAACATTTAAACTTGCAGCAGTATCACCGTTACTTCAACATTAAACACTGATCTAAAACTAGCCTCTGTGTTCCTGGGATGGGGAAACCAGCAATGCTGGACATAGCACTCCAGCCACTACCTCACCTAGGATGCAATAAGCAATCAGAGAACATGAGGCCCTCTTCCCAGCGGAAACCAGGCTCTGAAGACATTAAAGTAACTTGGGACCTTGACAGAAACGTTCTGAATTACCTTTGTTTACCTGCTCAGTTCTGTGCAGATGGGGGGAAAATAAGAGATTCACAAGCGCCTTCTAATCCATGATGGATCAGAGATGCCTAGCTCTGCCCAAAGTAACCTTTTTTGAGGGGGGAGGGGTCAAAGTCTCCTTTGAGAAGTTGACAAAAAGTCATGTTCTCCCACCCTTTTCTTCCCCTCACCCCAAATACAAGTAACCCCCGATTTCAATTTCAGGGGAGCTCCAGACATCTGTTCTAGATCACAAGCTTCTTACAAAACTTTCCAGAGTTAAATCCCCAGTGCCCGGCAGATATTAGGTGCTCATTAAATATTGTCTGACTTGAACCAAAGCACACCTGAACCTGATTTTGTCAGCAGCCTCAATCTTTACCACTGCTTTTTCCTAAGAGTGAGGAAACTTTCTCTCAAGGTTGTAGGACCATAAAGGCTCTTGCCTTGACATTCACTTCATTTGTTTCATTTTTAACTCTGAACATTCACTTTACCTCCTCTCCTTCCAACCCCCAATTCCCTCTTTCCCTTTTATTACCAACAATTAGAATAAGTGAGGGAAAGGTACCAAGCCAGGAAAAAGAAGAAACTTTAAAATGACATTTTAAAACTTTCATATAAAAATGATAATACTTGTATTTTTGATTTGTAATTTTTTTTTTTGAGATGTCTCTCTCTTGCCCGGGCAGGAGTGCAGTGGTGCAGTCACGGCTCACTGCAGCCTCGACCTCACAGGCTCAAGTGATCCTCCCACCTCTGCCTCCTGAGTAGCTGTGATTTGCGCACTACCACAACCTGCTAATTTTTGTATTTTTTGTAGAGATGGGGTTTTGCTATGTTGCCCAGGCTGGTCTTGAACTTCTGGGCTCAAGTGATCCTCCCACCCTGGCTTCTCAAAGTTCTGGGATTACAGGCATGAGTCATTATACTCAGCCCATAATTTTTAAGATGATACTGTAATGACATTTTATTGTGCATTATTATTCATTGCACTATGAGGTTTAAACCCATCCTGAACCATAGGTTTTTTTGAATATTTAATCTACGTTGAGGATAAGGCGTCATCTTTTACATGAGAAATACTCTTTCTGGGACAGCAGAAAGCATACGGAAGAGGGCATCAAATATAATACAAATATGCCTATTTGTTTAAGTATCCTGATATCTCAAAAGTTCTCTTTTGTAAAATAAACTCTGGCTGGGTACAGTAGCTCACTTCTGTAGTCTCAACACTTTGGGAGGCTGAGGTTGGAAGATTGTCAGAGGCCAGGAGTCTGAGACCAAGACCAGCCTGGAATAACATAGTGAGACCATGATTTGTCTCTATTTTTAAAAAAAATGTATGTGTGTGTATATATGTATATAAACAAATATAAACACATATAAATATAAATAAATATATAATTTAAAAATGTACATATATAAATAAAAATACATCTCTGGCAGGGAGGGAGGACAGAAAGGAAGAAGGAAACATTCAAGAGAGAAGTTAGGAATCCTCATGTGCAAATATTCAGGAGAAGAGAGGACGCAGGATTACCTTGCTCTGAATAGGTGCTGTTCAGTTCTCGAAACAAAGGAGCTATGATCACTGGGAGATACGGCTTTACCTTGTCTATCCCCAGATCCATTGCTATAGCACCAAGGAACTTAAAGATGCATGTTCTCTGAAAAGTACAGAGCATTTTTTTCATTTGAAATATTTCTCTTTAGCACTTAATCATAGACACAGCATTACTTTAGAAAACAGGGCTCAGTCTATTTTGGGACAGATGTTACTGCTGTAGCTTGGGGTTCAAAGACAAAGTTACTAGGGACTTAGAAGGATCACTAATACCATTAAAATACTTTTTAAAGAGAAATGACTACTCTCAGTCATTCTGTGCACTCATCACACCTTTAAGAGGTTTCTAGGCGAATAAGCAGCTTCCAGTTTTGCGATCCGGGACAGCTTCTGGATCAACCACAGCAGTGTGGCCGGCCTGCTGGGCTCTTCCTTCACCTCTTCCTTCTCTTCTCCGTCAGACTCAGCTTTCTCATCTGCACAGGCCATGCCATCTCCCAAAGCTTCTTGTCCTTCCAGGTCTCCTTTTATCTTACTTTGCTTATTCTCACAATAAGGTTCCAGTAAATACAATACTTTGGCTACGAACAGCAAATTCTTAACAACCTTTAAAAAAGGGGGTGGGGGAAGAAATTGAACTTTGATTTTGAAATAAATAAGGCTTAGTAGAGCATAAGCTAAAATAGGTATTCTACAATTAGAAAACAAAAACAAACTAGGTATTGCAACTATTTAACATCTATAATAACTATTAAACGATGATGGCTCCATTTCATTTTTACATCATTCTTTTCATTTATTTATTTTTTACAGATGAGTCTCAATCTGTCACCCAGGCTGAGGGCAGTAGTGTGATCTTGGTTCACTGCAACGCCCTCTCCCAGGTTTAAGTGATTCTTGTGTCTCAGCCTCCTGGGTAGCTGGGATTACAGGCACACACCACCATGCCCGGCTAATTTTTGTATTTTTATTAGAGACGGGGTTTCATCATGTTGGCTGGGCTGGTCTCCAACTTCTGGCCTTAGATGATCTGCCTGCCTCGGCCTCCCAAACTGCTGGGATTATAGGCGTGAGCCACCGCACTCAGCCTAGATCATTCTTAATTTCTTCCTCACAGTGCATCCAAACCCATTTCCACATAACTTTGATCAATCTGTGCTAGTTCTACCATTTAAAGTCATATAGAATAAGTAAACATTTTCCTTCCAGGTCCTCCATTTACATTTTTTGTTTGGTTTGGTATTTGGGTATTTTTTGAGACAGAGTCTCACTTTGTTGCCTAGGCTGGAGTGCAGTGGTGTGATCTTGGCTCACTGAAACCTCTGCCTACTGGGTTCAAGCAATTCTCATGCCTCAGGCACCCCAGCAGCTGGGACTACAGGCCATCATGCTCAGCTTATTTTTGCATTTTTAGTACAGACAGGATTTCACTATGTTGGCCAGGCTGGTCTTGAACTCCTGGCCTCAAGAGATCTGCCTGCCTTAGCCTCCCAAAGTGCTGGGATTACAGGTGCGAGCCACCACGCCAGCCCCATTTTACATTTTTAATGACAGCTTTCACCCCACCTCCATTAAATTCCTTCAGCCATTCTACGTGAGCGCCCATTGCACTCCAGCCTAGGCAACAGAGTGAGACTCCATCCTAGACTGTTGATAGAATAGGCCACTTCTGTTTCTTTTGAGATGGAGTCTCACTCTGTTGCCTAGGCTGGAGTGCAGTGGGCGTTCATGTAACCTTCGCCTCCCTGGTTGGAGCAATTCTCCCTGCCTCTGCCTACCAAGTAGCTGGGATTACAGGTGCCCGCCACCAAGCCTGGCTAATTTTTTTGTTTTGGTAGAGATGGGGTTTCATCATGTTGGGCAGGCTCATCTCGAACTCCTGACCTCAGGTGATCCGGCTGCCTTGGCCTCCCAAAGCGCTAGGATTACAGGCATGAGCCATTGCACCCAGCCAGCCCCTTCTTTTAAACTGAGAGAACTACAGTTCTTACCTGTTCTCCTAGAGACTGATCCAAGAATTTGGAATGCAATTGATGGCAAGAGGCGAGAGAGATACTTTTCATCTGTGAAAAGAAAATGGACATTGGTAGACAAAACACAGGACATTTCGGATTTTTAAAAACTAAATATAATAACCATAATACAACTAATGTACTAGATTTGCTCTGAATGACCACCTGTATAGATTTGGAGAGAAAAGGTTCATGACCAGAAACTGAGTAACTGCTACCTTCTACCTCCCCTAAGCATTTCATCCCAAAGAAATGGGACACTTTCACATTCTGGTGAGAAACAGGTAATAATCCTCTACATTTTCCTTTTTTTTTTAGACAGACTCTCACTCTGTGGCCCAGGCTGGAGTGCAATGGAGTGATCTCGACTCACTGCAACTTCTGCCTCCCGGGCTCATGGAATTCTCCTGCCTCAGCCTCCCAAGTAGCTGAGATTACAGGCACCCACAATCACATCTGGCTAATTTTTTGTATTTTTAGTAGATATGGGGCTTCACCATGTTGGCCAGGCTGGTCTCAAACTCATGACCTCAGGTGATTCACCCACCTCAGCCTCCCAAAGTGCTGAGATTACAGGCGTAAGCCACCATGCCCAACCAACCCTCTGCATTACTAATAGAGCACTTTGCAACAATCCAATATGTTTTTCTTCTTCCTTTCTTCCCTTCTGCCCTCCACTCATTCAATATTTATGGGGTTCCACTATGAGTAAGACATTGTGCTAGGCTCTAAGAAGCCAGAGACATATATCATGGCCCCTAACATTTTCTTTTCTTTTCTTTTTTTCTTTGTTTGAGACAGGATCTCAAGTCTTGCCCAGGCTGGAGTGCAGCAGGATGACGACAGCTCACTGTAGCCTTGACCTCCCTGGGCTCAGGTGATCCTCCTAGGTCAAGTCTCCTAAGTAGCTAGGACTACAGGTATGCCCCACCAAGCCCAGCTAATTTTTGTATTTTTTGTAGAGATAGGTTTTCACCCCATTGCCCAGGCTAGTCTTGAACTGCTAAGCTCAAGCAATCCGCTTGCCTCAGCCTCCCAAAGTGCTGGGATGACAGGAGTGAGCCACCATGTGTGGCCTGGACCCTGAAGTTTTCGTGACCGTGATCTCATTTACATCATCAACAAGGTTATAAGGAGGCAGAACAGACAGTATCAACCTTATTTTCCAATGCTGATAAAGAACTTAAACATTGGCTGGGCATGGTGGTACGAGCCTTTAATCCCAGCTTCTCAGAATCCCTTGAACCCAGGAAGCAGAGGTTGCAGTGAGCCGAGATCGTGCCATTGCACTCCAGCCTGGGTGACAGAGTGGGACTCTGTCTCAAAAAAAACAGAACTTAAATATATAATGGAAGATGGACATGCTAAATAAGCAAATTAGAAGTCTGACTACACTAATGGTCTAAAAATTATCTTGGAAAAAAGTGGAGAGTGACCCCTCTCCAGTGACTAACATGGCTGTTGATTCACCTGTACAGGTTGTTGGTTGGAAGAATTTCTCCCAAGGGCTGGCCCCAAGATAGTTACATGAACCAGAAGGAACATCTTATAGTTATGAAGGAAGACAAAGGTTTTAGAGAAACCTTACCTTTTGGTCAAGGTCACTGGTTAGGAACCTGATTGCTACAGGTTCTGGGAGTTTCTTTTTAGTCTTTTTGGTATTCCATTTTTGAATAAGTTCCTCTGGCTGGCAAGAGGCAAAGAGTAATCCAAAAATCTGGGCTGCTGTGAGCCATACCCAGTTGTGTGGATGTCTCAGGTGAGAGTGCACATGACCTGAGGGAACCAAAAAGCATTCTCAGATGTCACACGGCCTTCCTGATTGTTTAGAGGTAAATATGACTAAGTTAAGCATTTACAGAGTATTACGTGTTTGGAGTGGGGAACCAAAGATGAACAAAATAGGCCAGTGGCTGGGAAGTGGGGACAGGGGATGAAGAGAGGTTGGTTAATGTGTATAAAAACAGAATTAGAATTAGATAGAAGGAGTAAGTTTAGTGTTAGCACAGTAGGGTGACTACGGTTAACACTGATGTATTGCACATTTCAAAATAGCTGCAAGATTTGAAATGTTCCCAAAACAAAGAAAGAATAAAAGTTTGAGGTGAAGGATACTAGTTACCCCAATTGGATCATTAGACATTGTATATATGTATCAAAATATCATAGATACCCTGTAAATAGGTATAATTATGTATCAATTTAGAAAAAGACAAATAGTCCTTGCTTCCCAGAAGCTCACAGTTGCTAGGGAGGAGTGAAGTAGGAGAGGCACTGGAAACAGCTAGAAAACCAACTCCTAGAGTGATTAAATGACTCTAATGGGGTACAAAGAAGCCCTCAAACAGACCAGTTCCATAAGAACTAGGTTCAGATTCAAGGGAGATAAGGTGGCATTAACAGTTACATTTTCTTTCCTTTTTTTTTTTGAGACAAGGTTTCACTCCTGTTGCCTAGGCTGGAATGCAGTGGTGAACCCTTGGCTCACTACAACCTCTGCCTCCCAGGCTCAAACAATCCTCCTGCCTCAGCCTCTGTAGTAGCTGGGTCTACAGGTGCACGCCACCACACCCAGATAATTTTTGTATTTTTAGCAGAGATGGGGTTTCATCATGTTGGCCAGGCTGGTCTCGAACTCCTGGCTTCAAGTGATCCACTTGCCTCAGCCTTCCAAAGTGCTGGGATTACAGGCGTGAGCCACCACACCAGCCAACAGCTACATTTTCTAAAGTGAGTAATGTGTATGTATATAGGTACAGGCTTGTTTCTAATTAGTAGAATTGGTAGCTCCAAGTAGCTGCCTGTAAAGCTATCATTTACTTACTGAAGGCTTTCTATATGCCAAGGGCTAAGTGTGTTACATGTATTATCTCATTTAGACCTCACAATTCTGTGAGGTTGGAATTATAATTTCCAGCTTACAGATGAGGAAACAAGTTCCAGAGAGGCTATGTGACATGCTAAGCTGTAACAGGAAGAGCCAGTCCTGGGCCCTGCTTCATCTGACCTCCAAACTCTTAATTCTTCAGCATTTGGCTACATGGTCATTCTCTATACACCATACTGAGAAAGTATTTTTTGTGGAGATGGGGTTTCATTTCACCATGTTGCTCACGCTGGTCTCAAACTCCTGAGCTCAAGTGATCTGCAAGCCTCAGCCTCCCAAAGTGCTAAGATAGCAGGAGTGAGCCATCATGCCCAGCCTGGATCCTAACATTTTCACGAACAGGATCTCATTTAATCATCAGCAAGGTTTTTAGGAGGCAGGACAGACAGTATTAATCTTATTTTCCAATGCTGATAAAGAACTTAAACATTAATGAAAAATGGACATGCTAAATAAATAAGCAAATTAAAAGTCTGATTACACTAATGGTCTAAAAATTATCTTTGAAAAACCTTGACCTTGAGCACGACCCCTCTCCAGTGACCACCACTTCATTGAGCCCCAAACTTCCCCTTTCTCACTGTGTAAAGGGGGAAAAAAAGATGAAAGTTTTATAATGTGGGAGTTGGGAAACAGAATGGATTACTCATGTCATATGTCAGTTTTAGTCTTTGCTGCTGTATTTCATGGACATATTTTTACTTTTGATCTATATGAATCTTTGTAATAATCTGATCATGTTGCATTGAAGCTACACCTGAGTAGGTCATAGAGTAGCCTTGTTATTTCTCACAAAATCTGAGTTCTGGCTCTTAAACCAGGTGAATACTTTATTTCAGTTAACAGACCACAGAAGTAGTAGT